ATAAATATTTATTTTATTAAATTATATAAAATTATTTTAGTTAAACTAAGATTATAATTTTAATCATATAAATACTTTATCATCTTAAGTATTACACCTCATTAAAAATTTATAAATTTATCTAGTAAAAAAATAAAAATAAATAACAAATATTTTAAGTAAGCTAGGTGAGTACAATTTAAGCTATAAATCAATATCATTGTTAAAAGGCATCAAGTTCAATATCTTAAAATCAAATATGCACTTGCCAAAAAATGGAGGTAAAAAGTATTTTATTGAAGGTCCTCAATTCTCAACTTATCGATCATTGGTCTCCAAATATTAGATGTTGGTTGTGCTTGCAAAAGAAACTCTAATGTCAAAATTAACAAGTAATCAAAGTGTTTGAGGGTATACTATATATGTTGCATACCTTTTGAAGATGAAATGCATGTATAAATACATAAAATAAAGTTATCATTATGAACTCGACTAATTAACTATATTCAAGTTATTTTATTGTTGCATATCAGTTGGACGTTATTTTTTTACTATGTTAATTTGTTAGGTTAAGCCGAGTATCCCTCAGTCAAGGACCCCTCGAATGAGTACCCTTTGATTGAGTACCCTTCAGTCATTTCGTCATATTATGTGAGCATGAGATTCTGACGCGTGATTGAGAGCAATTAGGTGTTCAAGACCTATTTAGTACAAAATTTGTCAAAAGTTCCTTATGAGTCTAGCTGAGTTAGTAAGACAAAATAATTTTTGATATAATATTTTAGTCTAATTGATCAAAATCATACGAATTGAAAAATAGAAGATATTGTGTTTATCTCAAAAGAACTATATTGAAAAAGTTATATAAAAATTTCAAATGCAAAATATAAAAGTTATTAATACATCTTTAGTAGTTCAGTTTAGATTATTTAAAAACAATGTCATTACAAACTAAAAAGAAAAAGGAATTCATGAGTAAAGTACTTTACTCTAATGAAGTTAAAAGTCTAAAATTTGTCATAGAACTAAACTAAATATTACACATGAAATTAGTAATTTTAGTTATTATATGACTAATCCATTGAAGTCTCACAGACAATATGTACAAATGTTTCTCAAATATTTGAGGGACTTAAATTTAATATTTAATAAATGAACAAATTAAGTTGTTAATCATATTATTCGAGTTTATGTTTTAGATTATATCAATGACCTTAATTATAAGATCGATATTTTTACTAGTTATATTTTTATATTTAAAAATAATTTTATCAATTGATGTAAGACTTTCCATTATTCTCTTATCAAATATTATTTAGACTTATTCTCTTATCAAATATTATTTAGACTTAATCAATGTGAGGTATTTGTTGGAAAAAAAAACAAGTAAAACATTTCAAATGACGAATAATAAATAACTCTAGAAATTCAAGTTAAGGTAAATATGTATCTTTTTATAGTTCGACTTTTTATTATTATATAATTTTAATATATAGATTAATATCATAATGAATACAAACCATTAATAATGAATGATTTAAAGTAATAATATTTTACTATCGTTGTTTAAATAACTTGTGTTCTAATATAAATAGGTAAAAATAATTGTAGAATTAAATTCAAAAAACAAAAAAAAAATTAATCCTTCCAAGACAAACTTCTGAAAGATAAGATTTCTTAGATAATTATTCTTTACAATAGTAAAAATTCTAAAATAAAAAAAAAAAAAGCAATTAGTAATTGCATACAAAATTACAATAACAACATCGATATTAATTTCACTTTCAAAAAAAGAAGGGAGAAATCTTGGAGGGATTTCGGTTATCTATATTGAAAAGTACTATACCTCCCAAAAAAGAAAACTAATGAAAAAAAAATGTGCTACGACATCCATGATGTTGTCCTTTGCTTTTATTAACGAAAGTTAATGTAGGAGGAAACTTTGTCAAGGAAGAATGTGAAATTTGCAACATTGTTTTAAAGTTTTCTTTCTAAATCATAACGATGATAATGCATAGTGGTGGCCACCCTACTGTCACAGACATGAATTGGACCCACATGTCTGCAAGATGCCTCTACTCCTTGCCCATTGCTTGGGCCCCACTCACCATATGAAATAATTCGATTTTTGCCATACTTTTTCATTTTCTGTTTTGCTTTTACGACTTGAATCATATGCCATGATATGCTACAGGAATTACCATATTACAATTCTCACTTCCTACTTATTGCCTATGCTACATATTAATGGACCTAAAGTACCTCTTTCTTTTATTTTGAGACATAAAACAGATAATTTCATTTATCCATTAGTAGTTTAGTACCACTACTTGGGTGCATGTGTAACTGGGTTTAGTTAACTACTTAAAAAGTTTATTCATGATATCAACATTTTTTTTTAATGTACGTTGAAATATATTTTAGTCATAACTTTACTTTCATTCTTATTGCTTCTCAGCCAATCCCGTTGGTTGAGATTCAAACAGAAAGGACACTTCAGATTATAAGATTAAATTTGTACACTCATGACGAAAATAATAAAAACAATAGTACTACTACTACTAATAATAATTTGCAACATTGAGAAGTAAATAATTTAAATCCTTAAGCATAAATAAACTTATAAAATCATAAAAAAAATTAACTATATCCATGTTAGTGCCAGAATTTTTAATATAATTGCACCGTTTACCTTTTCTCCTCATTTTCGCCATGCCTTTGTTGAAGTTCAAATATCTGTCTGTCTGTAACATCTCTGGTGAATGCGATCGTTCGTCGTTATCATGCTTTGCAAGAGAAAACAGTAACACTTTCCTCTTTCTCCGCTCTCTTTGCAGCCATATGGTCCACAACCATGTTCATTGATGTTGACTTTGTTGAAAACTTTTGTCTGCTGGATCTTTATATTATGAAAAATCATACATATAACTAATTTTGGGTGTAGGTGGAGAAAAAAAGATAAAGGTAAAAGAAAAACAATTAAAAAATATGATAAATAAAAAAATAAGGTGAGAGAAATAAATAAAAAAAACACTACACATATATGAATATCATTGTTGTAAAATACAATAGCCTTGCATAAAGTGTAACAATAAAAAAGTATACAGCGGTAACTTGTGAAGTAATTAATGGTTGCAATGATAACAGAGGGAACAATAAAAGGACAAAATATGCTTTCTAAAGTATGCTTTTTGACACTAGTGATTTTTTTAAACATGAATTGTGTGAATGCTGTACCTAGTTAATGTGATGTATTATCTGCGATACCGAGAATTAAGCTATAGCATAAAATTATGCCACTTGTTGGAATGTAGATGGTTTGTCTCACACTGCATTGCACAGCCATGTTACTGTGATATTGTTCTTCATTATTATACACTGAAGAGCCTTTTATTCACTCTATTCAAGAGATTTGGCTTTCCCAATAGCAATATTGCATAAACTCCAATAAGCTATTAGTGTTGTCTTCAAAAATAAAGATAACTCTCTGCTCTTAGAATGAAGAGAAGGGTGGAAATCAAGCACCGTAACTGGACAGTTTGATTGCTCAATCATGCATATGCCCTCTCAACAAATAAAGTTTAGGTGAAGTGTAGGTAGCAAATTCACCTTAGTACCTTATAATTGACATTCTATATTATATGTAAACTTCGAAGTTTGAACGTTTTGAACTAATAAAATTACAAGTTTCACATGAACTGAGATAAATTTTAAAATACATCCAAGTACCTTATAATTGACATTGTAACTTGGTGATGGAATCAGCATGGTTCCATTCAAGCTATATATGGTTACTCTTAACTGAGATATAAACTGAGTATTACAAATTATCTTTCTGATTTAACTTACACCGAATCCCTTTTATGCATACTTGTTAATATTTCCCTTTCATGATTGAATAGGCTGGATTCATGAATGCTAGAAACGTAGACTAGTGTATAGCTAAGTAGAAAATTTTGATCATGTAGGTGAAAGTAAGATCCATGAATAAGACAACAGATGAGGGGGGCCAGGTAAAAAAAATAGACAGCTCCCAGAAATACAAACCTATGAGGAAATTTGTTTAGGTATATTTAAGAAAATAAATTGAAATATATTCTGAAAAGAGCATGTCTCATTCCCTATATAAAATAAGCCTACATGGAGGGAATCCTAGGATTAGGTATTGTGATCTTTGCAGCACAACTTTATTGCCATCCCAAATCCATGATAATTTTCAGATGAGGCAATAGGGCATAGCAAATTGATTTCCCATCAGGGCCCTTTTCCCTTCCCCTTGTATGACAAACAAAACATTTGCTAGGCCCTGACATCCATCCACCATCCCCTCTTTCCATTTGCTGATTTACTTTAAATATGTGACAGCAAATTAAATGCTACAGGTTGAGTGTTTCACTAAACTGAAAACACAGAACCTGTTTATCATTTTTCCTGTATTTACTCCGTATAATATTTTTTTATTTATCAAAATTATAATAATAACATCAAAATTTAAACTTAAAACTATGTAACTCTATTCTAACTTGGTTTTAAGTAGATATCAATATTTTTCTATTCATAAAAGCTTAGATTAGTCAAGTCTCAAGATTACAACAAAACTGCTTGTGTCAGTTAAATTCTGCATCTAAAACCCACGTCAAAAGAAAAGTTACATACATTAACTTCTGATTTTTCACATCTTAGATTCACGTATTATGATTCTAACGTAGAATCAAACCCAGACTCACACTACGAAGAGCAATTGTAGAGGTGAATTACCCACTAATCAAATTCTCATATCATATCGTCAATGAAATTCAAACTCACGTTTTTTAATAATATGAGTCATATTTTTACCAAGTTAACCACGACAAGTTTTCTTGGCTGCTTAATATCTATGTAATGTATAATGACGGGGGAAAAACTTTATTTTATCAATGGAAAATGCATTTTCCTACTTAGATTTCATCTGTGTTGCCTTTTCCATTTTTCATTTTTCACCAGTACAAGACTAGACAACTTTTTGAAAATAAAGATTTGATTTTTGAGGATGAGAATTGAGGGCGCCCAATGCATTATGCTCCCAAACAGAAAACGCTGTGTTGAACTGTGCCCCACATGCAATGAGACAGGAGTTTTATGCAGCTTTCATTCAGTGATGACTGCCCATTTCTCGTGATGCCTACATGGGAAAGAATTTCATTCCCAATCTTTCTCACTCCCAAAAATCTCTCTCTTTCTCTCTCTCTCTCTCTCTCTGAGACATAAGAAAACACCTGGTCCGTGAACCCTGTGATAAAGCATTCAACTCTTCTCTCATTTCATCACTCACTGTTCACTGAAGAGTGAAGAAGTTTTTCCTCTGCATAGCTGCAGTCACTTTCTCTGTTGCTTCTGCAGATATGTTTTCTTCTGCTACCGAGTATGGCATGTTTCATATGCAACCCACGGTTCATAATGCTTCCACCTTTTGTCTCTTTTATCCTTCTAGTTTTCCTTCCCTTGAAAGTGAAAGCTTGTGTTTTTATTTTCCCCCATTTGTTTCCTTTGTTTCTAGAATGAAGTAGTGGCACATGTGTTTTTAATTTTAGACAAATCTCAGATGGGTTTTCTTCTAAATGTTGATATGTTTCTGGGGTTACTTTATTTCAGGTGAAAGCTTCTAAAGGTTTTTCCTTTAACTGATGCAAGTAGCAGCAGCTCGCTGAGGAAGAGACACAAGGGTGAACTCGGTTCCAAATCCTCACATTTGAAGAATAAAGAAAAAGGGAAAGTTCATTGTGGAGGAAAGTTGGATTTTTTTATATTTTTTATTTGGTGAAAAGAACGAGAAGCAAAAGTTGTTAATGGTGTGGTAGAGTTTTGATAGCAGTTTTGGCTATTGGAGAAGAACACTGTTGAGTGGAGTGGAAACACTAACACTTCACTTCACTTCAGCAGAGAAGAGAAGGGTGTGCAGTGATGGAAATTTTATGCTTGTTGCACATTCTGCTAGCTTGGTGTGTGTCAAGGTTTGAGCTTGTTGGTGCTGAGCTTCAGGACCAAGCTATATTACAAGCCATCAACCAAGAGCTTAGAGTCCCTGGATGGGGGGATGCAACCAACTCAGATTACTGCACTTGGCAAGGTGTCAGCTGTGGAAACCACTCAATGGTGGAGGGCTTGGATCTGTCTCATCGTAATCTTCGAGGTAATGTAACTTTAATGTCTCAGCTCAAAGCTTTGAAGCGGCTTGATCTTTCACGTAATAACTTTGATGGAGTGATTCCTCCTGCTTTTGGAAACTTAACTGATCTCGAAGTTCTAGATTTGTCTTCAAATAAGTTCCAGGGTTCAATTCCACCTCAGTTGGGTGGTCTCAGAAGCCTAAAATCATTGAACCTTTCCAATAATGTGCTTGTGGGAGAAATACCAATGGAACTCCAGGGCTTAGAGAATTTGCAGGATTTACAAATTTCTAGTAATCATTTGAGTGGTCTTATACCTTCTTGGGTGGGAAATTTAACCAATTTGAGACTTTTCACTGCTTATGAGAACCGTTTAGGTGGCAGGATTCCAGATGTTCTAGGCTTGATTCCCGAGCTTCAAATACTTAACCTGCACTCTAACCAGCTTGAAGGTTCAATTCCAGCAAGCATTTTTGCTCCAGGGAAGCTGCAATTTCTGGTTCTCACCCAGAATAATTTTAGTGGTGAACTTCCAAAGGAAATTGGGAACTGCAAAGCTCTTTCCAGTGTTCGAATTGGAAACAACCATCTCGTAGGTGCTATTCCTAATACCATTGGAAATCTTAGTAGCCTAACCTACTTTGAAGCCGATAATAATGATCTTTCTGGTGAGGTTGTGTCCGAATTTGCTCAGTGTTCCAATCTGACCCTCCTGAATTTGGCTTCAAATGGATTTACTGGAACAATTCCACAAGACTTTGGACAACTTATGAACCTTCAGGAATTAATTCTCTCTGGAAATAGCCTATTTGGCGACATTCCAAAATCAATTCTGAGTTGTAAAAGTCTCAACAAGCTTGATATTAGCAACAACAGATTCAATGGGACAATACCAAAAGAAATCTGCAATATCTCCCGGTTGCAGTACTTGCTGTTGGATCAGAATTTCATAAGAGGAGAGATCCCCCAAGAAATTGGAAGTTGTGCAAAACTTCTTCAGTTGCAATTGGGCAGTAATTATTTGACTGGAACTATTCCTCCTGAGATTGGTCACATTAGGAACTTACAGATAGCATTAAATTTGAGCTTCAATCATCTCCATGGTCCTCTGCCCCTTGAATTAGGAAAACTGGACAAACTTGTTTCTTTGGATGTTTCAAACAATCGGCTGTCCGGTAATATTCCACCTGAGCTTGGGGGAATGTTGAGCTTGATAGAGGTGAACTTCTCAAATAATCTGTTTGAAGGCCCTGTGCCAACTTTTGTACCATTCCAGAAGAGTCCTAGTTCAAGCTTTTTGGGCAATAAAGGGCTTTGTGGAGAGCCTTTGAACTATTCATGTGGAGACCTTTATGATGATCACAAGGCTTACCATCACAGGGTTTCTTACAGAATCATACTAGCTGTAATTGGTTCTGGTTTGGCTGTTTTTATGTCAGTAACTATAGTTGTCTTGCTGTTTATGATCAGAGAGAGGCAAGAAAAAGTAGCCAAAGATGCTGGGATTGTTGATGAAGGCACCAATGACAACCCAACTATAATTGCAGGAAGCGTTTTTGTTGATAATCTAAGACAAGCAGTGGACCTTGATGCCGTTGTTAAAGCAACTCTGAAAGACAGTAACAAGCTCAGCAGTGGAACTTTCAGCACAGTTTACAAGGCAATCATGCCTTCAGGAGTGGTCTTATCTGTTAGGAGACTGAAGTCTGTAGACAAGACAATAATCCACCACCAGAATAAGATGATTAGAGAACTTGAAAGACTGAGCAAAGTTTGTCACGATAATCTAGTGCGCCCCATTGGCTACGTTATTTATGAAGATGTTGCTCTTCTCTTGCATCATTATTTTCCAAATGGAACATTGGCTCAGCTTCTTCATGAGTCTACTAGGAAACCTGAATATCAGCCTGACTGGCCTGCTAGGTTAGCCATTGCCATTGGCGTGGCTGAAGGTTTGGCTTTCCTTCATCATGTGGCAATCATTCATCTTGACATTTCTACTGGCAATGTTCTCTTGGATGCAAATTTCAAGCCGTTGGTTGGGGAAATCGAGATTTCTAAACTTCTGGATCCAACCAAAGGCACCGCAAGTATCAGCGCAGTTGCTGGTTCATTTGGTTACATACCACCAGGTATACTACTTTCTGGCATGAAATTCTCCAATCTATTCTTCCTATTAACTTCTAAAGTAAATAGTTTATGTACTGATAGTTTAAATGGTTTTTACTTTATCATCAAATAACACATTACCATGTATGATTAGTATTTTGAATTTTACATCTTAAAAGTTAGAGTAAACACAGACACCACTGCTTGAGATTTCGTGAGATGTTGCACACACCTCTCACTTTGTCAATTCCTACACCAACCAGTCTTAATTGTTTGAAAAACAATATACTGTGACTCTATGAAAGAGAAGTTATTATAAACGTTAAAAAGATAAGAAAGTTGCGTGTATTTTTGCGAAATCTTAGGGGTATCACTGTAATTTATTCTAGAAGTTGTGTCAAAAATGATTTATGATTGGTTGAGAAATAAAATTTTATACCGACACTGCATAGAAATTAAACCAACTTTTATTGTGATTAGCACTTCATTTTACATCTCTCCTGTAATGCAGAATATGCATATACTATGCAAGTCACAGCACCAGGAAATGTTTACAGCTATGGTGTTGTTCTGCTGGAAATCCTCACAACTAGACTACCAGTTGATGAGGATTTTGGTGAAGGTTTAGATTTGGTGAAATGGGTTCATAGTGCTCCAGTAAGAGGGGAAACTCCAGAGCAGATATTGGATGCTAGGCTAAGCACAGTTTCCTTTGGTTGGAGGAAAGAAATGCTTGCTGCTTTGAAGGTCGCGTTGCTGTGCACTGACAACACACCAGCCAAACGACCGAAAATGAAGAATGTGGTGGAAATGCTTCGAGAGATAAACCAAAACTAAAAACAACGAGCCACTCAAGTGTTCTATTCTGCTGTAATCTACACCATTGAAGATTTGATGTATGCAAAACTCTCATGATACAAAGGAACTGATGAGTTACAACTTAAAACAGCTTTAAATAGTAGACTTGTATCAGGAATTATTTTTCATTGTGAAGGTGATGTTTCAAAGTGGATCCAAGGCCAATGGCATTGATAGATCCTTCACCTTTCTAGTTTGTCCAAAGGGTTAGTTGTGAAATGGCAGCTTATCTATTTGAGTTGGACACTATGTTAGGTTGTGGGAGGATAAATGCGACAAGAGACATTGGAATGAGATTATATCAGTTCCTATTATTGCATATAGAGTCCACAGTTTTCATATTGTATTTACTCATTTGGGAGATGTATGCACCTATTAATCAATCAATCTGTTCCCATTGAAACTGAAAGTTATAGTTTATTACTGAATGTTTTACTGTTTAGACATATCACAAAAAGTTTCATTGCCCAAAATATTATGAATAATATATCCTAGCATATGTAACTTACTTGACAATAACATTGTTCTTGTTTAAGGAACGGTCATACCTCTATTCCAAAATAGTTTCTGCCTTTTGGAAGTAGATATGTGGAAATTAGGATGACAAAATGAGTTCCATTTTTGAAGGAAAAGGAAAAGAAATTGTAGTTATATTATGTATACTTGGCCTACAAGGGAAATTAAGATGATTAAAGATTAACTTGTGTAAAAGTAGTTTGTGTTGGAAAACTTATTTATAAGTTAATTTTAATTTTAATTTTTTAAAGTTTTTTTTCCTATAAGTATTTTTGAAGAAGTTTATCTAAACAATTTTAATGCATAATCTATGCTTAAAGTGAGTTTTGATTTTGATCATTGTAATTTTTTTAATTTTTAAAAATTTATAAACATTGTTTTTGATTTCTATTAAATAAACAAATTTTATTTTTTATAAAATATATTTTTTTTAATTTTTATCTCTCTAATATTTAAAGTCATTATTTTTTTTTTGTCAAAATCTAAATTTCACTTTACTAACTTGTATTGATTTCTAATGTAGGCTTTTATTTCATAGATTATTAAGATAAAACTTCAATTATTATAAGATAACACCGATAAAAGCACCTCAGTTTTGTCCTAACTATCATCACATAATTGCATAATACTCGAAATAGATTGCACGCAGGACTAAACTTGTTAGAGACACAAAAAGCAGCATTGGCCTCAGTTAATAATGAGTTTATGTTTTTCTTTTATCAACCAATGGTATATGAGCAGCCTGGGCCACCAATGAGACGGTGTTCTTATGATGATGATTGTTACAGCCATGAAAATGGGTGCGTAACTGAAGAGGAGTGAGTGATCTCTTTCACTTTTTTCTAAATATATGTGCAGTGCATGACATAAACTTCTCTTCAACCTATTCAAATTTAATTTATTTGCATTGTTCTACAAACATTTCTCAGAAATTCATTCGGCTGTCAAATGTATTAATATATATACTACTGTAAAAGAAGAGTTATGTGTCTCCGTATATTTTGAAAAATAAAAATAAAATAAATAATACAATATAAAGTAGAATAATAGTGATTTTGAGTTTGAATCCTAATATATAATTGTACTAAATACTTGAAAGGAGAGTTTTGTTGATTATAAAAATTCTAACATGTTTGAACAAAATTATCTTTCATAAAAGATGATAAAATTTGTTAGTGCTAAAATCAAGTGAATACAAATCACAACATATTATCAATGGATATAGGAGAAAAAAATATTTAAAAAAATCGTGCATATAATATAAGTTTTTCATAATATAAGAGGAAAATTGGAATGAAAGAAGGTTTCCCTCGGTCACCATTAACTTATCAATTCATTTTAATTGTTTAATAAAACAATGATTAAATAACTTAGCATATGAGAATAGAGACCTTTCATTGGACATAAATCAAATAGTTCAATCCATCATAGATCATTTAAAACACAAATCTAATATAATATTTATCTATTAATTAGGTATTAAAATTATTATTGACCATAACTAGTATATTAATGAATTAAAAAATAATTCTTAATAATTGAGTAGTGTTAATTCACAAAATTAATTAATTAAATAATTAATAAAAAAATACACGTGATTTATAAAAAAAACCAATTAAATGAAAATATAAAAATAATTTACACTATGAATATATTCTAATTAAAAAAAATTCTTTGTATAATTAATTTATATAATTTCTTTTGATAATAGGATAAAAAAATTGATTTTCATACATTATTAGTATAAAGATTTTTACACTTTCAATCAATTAAAAATCATTCCACATATATTATTTTTTTAAAAAAAAATTATAGAACAAGCGTAACATACAAGATCAACCACCTATGATTCAATCACAATATAAAAACTTACATTATTAGTATAATTATATTAAATTCAAGAAAAATATATGAAATAAAATGATTGTGTGAGGAAGAAAAATAAATAAATAAATAATAATGTTAAAAAAAAATTGTGTTTGATTGTCATGAATCGTAAATATTTTGTATTATCAACTAATAAGAAATCATCTTCTGATAGTTATATGATATTTCCTTTGTCTCAAATCTTTAATTCTTTAAGATTAATCCACATAGATTAAAAAATATTTTATAGATGTAAATTTAGAATAAAAAACCTAATTTTTATTTCATTATCTTAACTCCATCATCTCATTTATGTAAGAAATAAAGGTGAACAACTAATGGAAAAATGTTTATTAAATAAAGTATGATTAAAAAAAATATTAATTAGACTTTGAAAATTTAAAAGGCCAATTATTTTTAGATAAAAAAGTTAAAAGGATTAAAGATTTAAAATAAATGAAGTAGTTAATATAAAAGTTAAAAAGCTCATAATGGTTTATAATTAGTGGACAATATAAATACTTTTACACTATGTATTTAAATTAAATTAAAAACTTAAATGGATAATATAACTCAATTAATAAATTCACTAATTTCTCTGATTATATTTCATTTTCTACTATTTTTTATTCTTCATTTTATTGTTCTCACCCTTCAATTATTTATTCACATAAACCAAAGTTTAATTAAACCAGTATATGTGATTTGTTGTGATTTTACAAACTACGTACCTATACTTCATTTCTTAACCAAATTTACATGGTTTTTCTGGCCTGATTTCACTCCCTTTTTCAATTCCAATTATACTCCTAGAGTATGATACATATGAATGGCCAACTGCACAAGAGTTAAATTTATAATTTTCATAAGAGATGTCAAGGAGGATGACAAAAATAAAAAATATTTTTCCACGAACTTTAACTACGAAAACAAACTTTTACAAATATAAACATATATGAGTAGATTTTTACATTTATTAATAATTACACTCTACAAACACGTATATATAAGTAGCTGTGGAAGGATATATATATATATATATA